TGATTCACATGTTTTATGGACTCGTAAATTGGTTGAAGAATATTTTTGAAGCATTTCGTAGGCTTTTTTTTTTTTTTGTCTGTGTTAAAGGGAAGCTAAAGGGAAAAAATTCAGTAGAAAAGCAGCACACTTTTGTCATCACAGAGAAATTGCTTAATCAGAGAAAATGAAATTTTCCAGTTACGCAAGCAGTAGCTCTGTAAGATATAACACTACAGCCATGACGGGTAGGATTTAGTATAAGGGAAGTGGGATGGTGTCTTGACAGGGAGGAGGCCTAGAATTTAATTTTTTTTGTTGATCAGATGCTAGCGTAATCGTCATCTTCGAAAAAAGGAAACTTCTTTGTCAGCCTTTTTTTAGTGATTTGGCAGCAGCAGTGACATTTTTTTGCTCTTTGAGTTTTTTGGAAGCTGTAAACGGAAGGCGTTGGTTGCGGTATAGATCTGTTCAGGTTTTGTGTAGGCATAAGTCTTTTTTTATTTGGTAGCATTCTTAAAAAGCACTGAATTGTCGCGCTTCTACTGGACTTTGAGTGACCGGTATTGGGTGTCTGAATGACTGAATAGTTGACTGGTCAGCCAAATCGCTGTGTGCTCGAAATACTGATGCTCCTAGTGCTTAATATGTACAACTGACGAGGTTGCCGCTTATATGCTCTCAGAAAAAATATTTGATTTCCAAAATATGGAAATGTAGAATCTTATACACGTAAAAATAGCAAATTTGAAGGGAGGGTGGTTGTCTGTCGTTTTCTTAGAGAGATGATGAATTTTTTTTAGCACGCGTAGTTGCAGTGACTTGGGTTTTGGCCGAGTAAACTTTAGGCCTTTCTGTTTTGCTCTCCTAAATACCTTTCTTTCTAACTTTTAGTTTTCTTTTGCTGCCGTCTTAGCAAAAAAATTTATTTTTATTTTTTATTTTTTGTCTGCTTTCTTTTCGTGGATGTGTATCTACTTTTTTGTTCATTTTTTTCGATTAATTTTTTCACTTACTTTTATGTAAGTATAAAGGTTGGCGCATTTGGAAGTGTTGAGTCTATACAGGATTTAGTAGTTGATTTGAACAGTACTCGTTGGTCAGGAGAAGCAGTTACGCTTTTAATATATTTAGATGAGTAATGGTTTTTGAAGTTAGGGTGACTGCTAGACTGAGATACACTAACATACTCATGCGTCCTCCTACCCGGTTTAATATATGTTCGCTGACGGATGTTGAAACCCTTTTTTTTGAAAAGTTTTTTATTTATTTTGATGTTTAATAGCACAATTTATAGTTTTTTCTGAAATCAGTAATTTGGTTTTTGGTCGGTAAGAGATCAGGCCAATTGTTGCTGTAGAATTGGCAGCCAAATTTTTTTGTGGCAGTGGTGGCGGTATTGATTGGGTCACAATGAATATGAGTTGTATGGGGCGATGATCTTATTTTTATTATTGATATCCAGTTGTTGTAGGGGATTGCCAACGATTCATTGAAGGTTGTAATGCAGCACTGACGAATCCTGATGCAGATGTGATTCTTATTTTTTCTGGTTTTGATTCATAAGCATATTATGTCTTTAGAACAAAGCTAAACATAGCTGGAAATGTTGGTATTTTCAATTTTTTTATACTTTGGGGATTGAAATTTGGTCAGCGTTTCTGAGGAAGGAGAGAAAATGACTTTTTTTTTTGTTCAGTTTTAGGATTTTTTCACATAGTTTTTTCAAGGACTCTTCAAAGCTATATGAAGCTTCTAAAGCAATATTAACGAAATAATTTAGCGACAATATCGCAGTGTCTCATGTTTACCCAGGTTTATTTATTAATTTCACATTTCTCTTCGGTGTTTTGATAGCTTTTTTAATACTGTTTTTTGAACAGGAAAATCAGGATTTGAGTTTTTTGTCCTTCTCTCTCTAGTCTCATTTTTCTGGTGAAAAATGTGAGGATGAGAGGAATTGGTTATTTCCATAGTTGTACAGAACGTTAAGGTTTTGCAGATGAACATAAAATTTAATATTTTGTATAAATCCTGGAATTTTTTTCCGGCGATGTGGAAGGGGGCAGGGGAGGTGGATGAGGGGTATACAAAATGCTCGCTTAATCCGTGTTGTGCTGCCGCGCTATTTAGTCAACTTAGGATACCATATTTGTTTTTGGACCATGCTATTGTAAACTCGTGTCTGTTGCAGCTCGAGCGTTTAGAAAAGCTCTGCTGAACTGCACTGCATCAGTTATAATACAGTTAGGCGGTCGCCCAGTGTGAGAAACATATCTTATATTCTTTCGCATGATGCTTTTAGATTCTAAAGTAAAGACGTACTTCATTAGAGAGTGTTTGAAAGTGCTTTAAAGTTTATTGAATATCTTGGGAGTATTTTGTAGCTGTGTGACAATATGAATCTAATGGTATCTATGCGCATAGTAAAAATTTAATGGTTTAGGTCATTTTCTTCTCAAAATTTATTTTTGAATGTGAAATTCTGACGAAATCATGATCATTTTGAAAAATGGGAATTACCTATTGAAATGTGGTTTTTTTACATTTTTTTTCTTTTTTTTGCGTCAGTATGTTTATATTATTCGACGCTTTATGAA